TCGGAAGATGACGAGCGCTGGGATCACCCATGCCACCATTGTTTTTGCATCACATGGCCCAACAATGTTACCATCGGGAGAATTTGATCTTTTAGGCATAAAGGCTTATGACATTCTGGTTCTTGGTGAGACAAATCTAATGGAGCACTGGCAGTCCTTTCTGAACCCAGACGCCTCGCACGACACAGTCGCTGATGAGGAACATGGAGGCATCGTTATCTCCATTGATAGAGCTGTGCGGGCTTCTTTCTCTCGTACATGTCAAGGACGCTCTTGTTCTGCCCACATCATAGAACGCATGTGTGCGCCTGACGTATTCGGCATGGCGCGATGCCATGGGCACTAGCTGCATGTTACTTCCTCAGAAGCCATCAAGGCGTCCACACTAAGATCAGGAATTATTACTTGCCCGAATAAGCTTAGTGGATTGTGCAACGCACCTTATTGCGGACTTCTTAGATTGATACCTACGAGGCGTGAGTTCCTTGCAGAATACGCCGAGCGCGCCCCTCACTGGCTCAGCCAGCGGAAGGACGGCGAAGCTCCGCGCGAAAAGGTATCTCAGCGACCGGCGGTGGACCTCCGACTCAGGGAACTTGGTTTCGCGCAGTTACCCTATCTTTCTGGGGGGCTGACGCGACGCATAACGAGAACTCGCAATAGATTGTTGTCTTCAGTGGGCGGGTGGTGATCCGCCTAAGGCATCTCATCTGCAGCGACGCAACTCTTGCGACGACAGGGCAAGCGCGTTTCAATGACATTTCTCGTATCGCGCAATCGACAATGGTTGAGCAAAATGCACGTAATGCACAGCCCATGATCTGGAACTTGATATTTTCACAAGAGTGGCATGCGTTTGAGGTGCCTTCTCGCACGGCACAATTTGAACATGGATCTTTTCTCACGAACATGTGGCCGACGCAGGGCAGAGTACACTGTCCGGAGAAGAACAGGCCCTCATCGCGCGGAGAATGTGGACAGACGATGGGAGGTGCATTGCAATCAATACCGTGCCGTGAGGGCTGGTTTTGGATTTTGTCGCCAATGCTTCGCCCCTGTCACGCATATGCAAAATGCCGGAGCGAATTATTTACAATCGCCTGGCAGGGATGCATTGGTTGCTGCGTGGACGAGCCCAGGACTGGCCCCGCGTCTAGACGCCCCCCCCCCCCAAGAGGGGAGAGCCGCTCCAAGATCATTTCTAACAGGCTGAAAGCAATGAGCAAGAGCTCTTCTGATGAGCTGGAAAACTTGAACAAAGCAAAACAACGGCAGCGCAAGTGGGTTGGCAACTCGCAGATACGTCCCCGGGCTGCTTTGGCAGGGTGTGCGTTTATGAATTCGCAGCCAGGGGCCGCCCCGCACTGGCGACCCGAAAGCGCCTCGGCACAGCCGCCGGCGCGTCATGGGCCATGCTTCCAGTATCTGGAACCACCTAAGCTCCGATGCGTTGACTGGCTGAAGTTCAAGCGTGGGGACAATGCCCCAACCGCGGCCCAGTGAAACCATTGATCGGAACGTCAGATCTGGACCAATACACTCGCCCAGTGAGATGCTCTGCACTTGCTGTTTTTGATTGGGAACATGTTAGTGCCGAGCAAATTCGCCCTGAGACAGGCTGGGGCCAGCGGGGGCAAGAGATGGCGGAAACAAAGAAATCATCATTCCATCAGGCCAAGTGCTAATGGGAAACATGAACGAAGCCAACCGAGCTTCTGCGTCGAACCAAGTCGGAGACGCAGGGTTTCGGGATGCTGCTGAACTTCAGCATCGGCCCAGCCGCATTGGTGAAGTAAAGTCGGCACGTGAAGGGAAGGCTGCGACGTCGGACGGGATATGCAACCAACATATAGCCCGGCGCCATCAGCTGATTGTTCCGACGAGAAAGCTGCCCGTTTGGCTTGACTTGGTTTCTATGTTTGGTTGCGTGTCTAGCTCTAAGTACATAATGGCCTACAGGCCAGAAGTTATCAGAGTTGCAGCCCAATTCATTCTTGAATATGTATCGACACTTCCAACAACGATGTCATTGGACAAACACATAATTCATGATGCACCGCCGGATTGTCCGAGGTCGTGGATAAACTATGGAAGCAACCATGCGATTGAGTCCCCACTCACGGAAGATGATGGCAGATTCGGTTAGCTGTACGAGAAGTAATACTAATGTTCATGTCTGCGGGAATACATGTTGCATTTCCAGGGCGCGAGGTGCAGCGCGATCCGAAACATGCGAATGTTGTTCTTGCAGTCATGAGGGATGCTTATGCGTTGGATTGTCGGATTAGGTCCGCGGTTGAATCGATTGATTTACTTCCTGAATGGGCCAACGGATTAGGAGATGAAGCATCAGAAACCGCAAGACGAAATTGCTCAGGCATCCAAGAAGCTATGGTTTTCATGCGCACGTCTACGGAATCTCATTCTAGTTTCGGGATCTGTCTTGCCAGCAGCCTCTCTGGAGTCTTCAACGCTGATGGCGCCATTGGAATTACCAATTGCCTCGAGGAGAAACAGGAGGAGAGGGGCCCAGCCGACTCTCCCACGGCGACAATCCCAGCTGAGTCCCCCGCAGATGCTGCAACTGCAATCGCTGAAGAACATGCCCCGAGCGGCGCCGCCGCTCTGGGGTGGCGAACTCAGCGACATCCTCGCCCAGAATCGAGACCGAGGCGCCGGGAGGGAAGGCAGTCCTATAGGGCCGCCCCCCATGCTCCGGCGCCCGCCGGCCCAGCTGCGTCGGGCACCAATGCTGGCTGGATTGATCATGACAGAATCCAGTCGCGGGCGGATGAATCTTGTACTGATGGGCCCAGTCCTGAAAGACTGGCTGTAGAGCCGGGCGGCAACCGCGCGAGCGCTGGCGGCGGCCCCGGGCCGGCCATGGACGGCAGCTACGACGCGACCGTCGACTGCGAGGGCAAGAATGAGAATGGAGGTTCAAGGACACGACGTTCATGCATCTCGTCATCAGCGAGTCATTGGCCATAGCGAAACGCGGCAGTGGAATAGTTTGAACGAATGCAACGATAAGCTCAAACGCGACTCTGAGATGCCAAGTGCCCTGCCAGAGCTTCCACCGCCGCCTACGTCGCGGGCGAGGCCGCGCGAGAAGGGCCAGGGCAAGAGTGAGCCATGTGGCTGGAGTTCAAGCAGAAGAGAATATATACATGACAACCACTCCAGAGATCAGTACCAGTGTAACTGGAGTAACAGAGACACGCGGTACGACATAGTCGATGCTGGTGCAAACTGCATCATGGAGCGGGCGCGCCAGGCGTGCGCGGGCATTGTGGCCTGTGTTGCGAAATATCAGCCCAGGCGGGGAACGTCGGTTTCCTTCGGCCTTCCGCCCCCCGGCAACCACCGTCGAGCGGTAAAATGTTTTTGGGCTTCGCTCTGGTGGCTGTATATATGTGCAGGTCAGGTGGGCTGGGGGGTCGGGGCGGCTCTACGGACCCCGCCGCGGGGGGAGTCAATGCACCCTTTCCGCGCCACTATCCTTTCTCCCTGTCTGCTCCTTTACCTTGCGCGTGCTGCCCGATGAACTGAGTGCTTCTGCTTCCGCAGCTATGCCACTTTGGCTCTAGGGAAACGGAAAAGGAGCGAGCCTGCGGCGCGCGCGTGCGCGTCGGCCGGCGGGCCGGCCCCCTCCCTTCAGCGCTGCCTTAGTGTGCGTTTGACGGCATTATCTTTTCTCCCCCGTGCCATCGGCGGAGCCCACTGACCATGATATACAATCGGAACATATTGCAGGGGCGAAGATATGCAGGCAAACGACTCCTTTTCTTCCTCCTCCTCCACTCCTTTTCTTTATCCTTATGCATAATTTGTCCCTTTTGCACCCCGAGGCGCGTTTTTAGGGCGGTCCGGGCGCGTCGCTTGAGACTTCCCCACCGCGCATGACCCTGAAACTTAAAGCTGACAACAGCTTCGCAGATGGAGGGCGGATGCTTTTCGAAATGCGGCTCTCGCGACAGCGCCGCGCGCATTCTTTTTGTTAATGCGCAAGCGTCTCACGGATTGAAGGCGGACCGATTTCAAAATGTGTTTCTCGCTTCAGCATCTCGCGACAGCGCCGCGCACGTTCATTTTCAAAATTTACAAGAACTGTGCCGATTGAAGGCTGCCCTTTTTCAAAATGTGGCTCTCGCGACAGCGCCGCGCGCAGTCGTTCTCAATCGTCAGAAAGGCTTCGCGGATTAACGGCGGTTCCTTTTTACAAATTGTACTTCTCGCGACAGCGCCGCACGCATTCGTTTTCGAAATTTGCACAAGTTTGACGGTTTCCCATAATCAACGTTCCGAAAGTGGCGTTCTGGAAGGACTCATTTGACGGCGTAACCGTTATTTTGATTCGCGGTGTTGACGTCCCAAAAATGGCATGCTGGCCCGATCCTGGATCGTCAAATCGCGGCAGTCAGGTTGATCCGTGGCGTTGGGGTCCCGAGAACGGTGTTTTGTTGTTTTCCAACGACGCGGTTTCCTCAGTCGAAATGAACTCTTGTAAGGGGCCTATGAAGAGGGAACTTGGAGGGGGGGTGTACTCCAACATCGTTGGTGACTCTTGGGTTTACACTGGTCGTTATCCTCCTCCTCCTCTCCTTCCTCCTCCTCTCGTACCTCCTCTCTGCCTGCCCTGGCTGGAGGTGCCGCTCTGTTCACGTGCTACTTCGGGAACGTACGCTCCCCTTTGCACTTGCTACATCTCTTTGCTGCCGCGGATGTCTCAGGGAGATGGGCGGGCACAGAAGACGAGCAGGCATGCCCAGAGACGTCGGGCGGAGGCGACGGATTGGGTATGTCGATGGTGTGTCCACCCAGTGTCGGGCGCGGCATGGTGGAACATATCGGATAAGGTATCATGTCAGAAGTGTGGAGTTGCCAAGGCCTCGTCCTTTCTGGAGCCTCGGTTCAAGCATACGGCGCCTTCGCAGAAGCAACAGCGGGCAGACCGAGCGGCCGCAGCCGAGCAGCCGCCGCCATGGCATGCGCGCAAGGTCGCGGAGCTGGAGAAGCAGCTGGCGGCAGCGCGGCAGCAGCTGGCCACCGGAGGGAGGTCTGAGAGCAACGCGATGGAGGTCGACGTCGAGAGCGGGGAGCTGCCGCCGCAGACCCCCGCTCAGATCCGCGTTCGGTTGGACGAGATCGATGAGGCCATGCGGGCGATCAAAGACCTCAAGGACCCCTGCTTCGAGAAGGCGAGAGAGGACTACGAAGGGGGGCGCAAGCGGCTGCGGTCGGACTTGGAGGCGTCCAAGCCAGTGCCTGCGCAGCTGCGCTCTCTGTCATTCCAGTCGGCGAAGTGGAACACCAAGAAGGCCAAGCACGAGGGCCTTCTGGCGGCCGCCAAGATGGAGGTGCAGAAGCTGCAGGAGACCATCCGTGAGCAGGAGCAGTTGGTGGTCGAGGCTGAGCAGGCCATATTGCAGATTGCTGAAGAACAAACCAGGCTTGCGTCATCGGTCCCGAGGCCTCCACCGTCCGCCACCGAGGCAGGCGAGCTCGTGGCCGCCCTCGGCATCACGGTCGACAAGCTCGGAGGCATCCTTGCAGGACTCGGAGACGACGGTCAGTTACAAGCGAAGTTGGACTCGGCCTTGGAGGAGGCACGGGTTCTGGAGGAGCGCAGGAGACAGGGGCGGTCGACACCCGAGGCAGCGCAGCACGATAACGCTGAGCCGCAGCGGGAGGCCGCCTCTCAGGGCGAGACCAGGCCTGAGCCTGGAGGAGTCGACGTACCAACACCAGACGACACGGACTTGGAGGAGCTGCGGGCTTTCCTGGGGCGCGCTGGGGTTGCTGCGCAGCCCGAGGCCGACGAGGCAACGATCCGAGGGAGCGTTCGCAAGCTGGCCGAGGGGCTCAATGAATGGAGGATTGAGAAGCGTGCCAAGGTCCAGGTCCCTGCCTAGAGCACTGGTGATATGCTTGATGGGCCTGGTTCATACTGTGAGTGCGATGCCGTCGCTGGGCACGGTAGCAGGGTCGCTTGCTGCGAATCCTCTGTTTCAGGAGACTGGCGGCAGTGCTGCCGATGTGGAGGTGGCCAGAGCGCACTGCCTGGGTCGGGGCGGCGGCGGCAGCGCCGAGGGCCGCGGCAATGGGCGCGGAGGGCGAGCCGCGGACGCGCGGGTGGTCGATGCCTCGTCCCACGTCCGACCTCCTGCTCGAGACGTCGACGGACGTAGCGCCCAGAGCGGGAAGGCAGCCGCGGCCCAGGCGAGGCCGCGGTCGTCCGACTCCAGGCCCAGACACGATGCGGCAAGTGTTGGGCCAAGCCGTGGTGCAGGAGGCCTAGCGGCCGAGGGGCGTGGCAAGGGGCGAGCTAAGCGAGCCGCGGACGCGCGGGTGGTCGATGCCTCGCTCCTCGTCCCTGGGCTCGCTCGGGCAGTCGACGGACGGAGCGCAGCCCCGAGTGGGGCCCTGGCCACGCGGCAGGCTGGCGCGGGCGGCGAGCACTGCCTGGGCCGGAGCGGCGGCGACAGCGCCAAGGGCCGTGGCAAGGGGCGGGGAGGGCGAGCCGCGGACGCGAGGGTGGTCGTTGCCTCGTCCCACGTCCAGCCTCCCGCTCGAGACGTCGACGGACGTAGCGCCCCGAGCGGGAAGGCAGCCGCGGCCCAGGCGAGTCCGCAGCCGCTCGACTCCAGGCACAGACGTGATGCTGCCCAGGAGGGGCCAGGCCATGGCGAGGGTGGCCTTGCGGCCCATGGCGGTGGCAAGGGGCGTGCTAGGCGAGCCGCGGACGCGCGGGTGGTCGATGCCTCGCCTCACGCCCCAGGGCCCACTCGGGCCGTCGACGGACGGAGCGCAGCCCCGAGGGGGACCGATGCCACGGAGCAGGCTGGCCACAAGGGCAGCATCGTGACGCTGAATTGCTCGTCCGAGAAGCAGCTGCTCGAGTACATGGTGCACTGCAGTCACACAGTGGTCGCGGTGCAGGAACATCACGTTGCTCATGATGACCTGGCAGGCGCACAGCATCGGTTGCTGGACGCGGGCTGGCAAGGCATATGGGCAGCGGCCAACCACGCAGTCAACGGTGGCACGCAGGCAGGGCTAGCAGTTTTGGCCAGGCCGAACGTCATGATTACGCGCGGGCCGTGCATGAATGGACAGACCGTACTGGCTGGCGGTCGAGCTTTGCCCGCTCAAGTACACTGGGAAGTCCCTGGAGGAGTGGTACTGGTCTCAGTGTATCTTTATGTCAATGAAGGTTGGTCTGACAATAACCTACACATCATGCAGGAGGTCAGTAGCTATTTGGAAAGATTGAATCATGCAGGCTACGATTGGATTGTGGCAGGAGATTTCAACATCGAAGCATCCCAGTTCGGCGATATGCGATGGTTACACGGGCTTGGTGGGATGCTTCGGGCTCCAGCGGCGACCACATGCAGACAGGCTATGCCTGGTAGTTGCATCGACTATTTCCTCACGTCGTCTAACTTGATGACACGAGTAGAGCAGCCGTGTGTTCAGGAGGCGGCAACCACGTTTCCGCACTTGCCAGTATACATGCTTATCAGTGGCAAGGGCATCCAGTTGTTTCATCGTGAACTGCGTGGGCCGCGTGCCGTGCCCAAACAGCCGAAGCCAGGGTGCGCGAGGTTTCCATTGTGTTGGCACGGAGTTGCACGTATTATAGATGCCGCGTGTGACGACAGCAGTTTGCAGGTGGCATGGGATGCTGTGCTGAGCCAAATTGAATTAGAGCCGCTTGCCAGACATGACGTCGTTGGCACCAAGGCTGAGCCGTTCGTTGGAGCATGTGGCCCAGTAGAGTTTGAGATTGTCAAGCTGCAGTGGCAACCACAGCAGAAGCGTTCATACTTGTCAAAAGCAGCCAATGCGTGGTGCGTTGCAGCCAGATGGGCGCGACACATGCGTAGGGCGAAAGAAGCTATCATTAATGTCACGGCAAAGGTAAGTCTGCAGCAAGTGACAGGGGCGGCAGACATGGCCCACCTGCACAAGCTGTCGAGTTTGACGATTGAGCTAGGCCGCTTTTTGGCGAAGGTGCTGACTGAGACGGCCGTGCTCAGCGAGCTCGACAGCTGGGCGTCTGACTTGTTTCTGTTGGGAATGGAGTTCCTTGTTCACACAGAAGTAGATGCAGTGCTGGATGCAATCGAGGCCAAAGCAACGGAGCTTGCGGAGGCACACAGTCAGAAGACCGCCAAAGCCTGGAGGGACTGGGCGGCAGCCAGCTTTTCTAACGGCGCGCGCTTCGCGCATAGGCACACGAAAGGGAGAGCGTTGCAGGAAGTGGTTAATGCTAATGTGACCGCTCGCACGCCCTCCCAGCCGTATCAGCTAGCCGATAAGGCCATGAGGGACTGGGAAGAGATTTGGTCGATGCACGATGCCGCAGTCCCTCAGTTGCCAGCAGAGGCGAAGGACTGGGAAGAGCTCCCACCTTTGACCTTGCAGGACTTGCAACGCGCCATTCTTCAGTTCCCATGGGCGACGGGAGTCGGCCAGTTCAGTTTTGCTCCTCGCAGTTAATCTTTCTGAGCGGCCCAGGCCTGGAGGCCTTAGCGAAGCTGTTCATGAAGTGCGAAAGCCTCTTGATCTGGCCATCGGACAGACTGCTGACGCAGCTCGTTCGCCTCCCCAAGGCGTCGGGAGGATGTAGGCTGATAGCGCTCTTGAACACGCTCCTGAGAGTCTGGGGCAGGGCCCGCAGGCCCATCGCGGCCGCCTGGGAGGTTGAGCATGACCTGGATTGTTTCTGGGGGACGGGAGCTGGCAGGTCGAGCTCGGACAGCGCGTTTTCTCTGAATCTTGAAGCTGAGATTGCGCACGAGTTAGGAGAGGACAGCCTCACAGTTTTTATCGATATGTTGAAGTGCTATGAGACTGTCGTTTTGCAGAGCCTGCTTCGCGAGGCCAAGCTAAATCGTTTCCCGATGAGATTAGCGTGGATGACGATTCAAACGTATCTGCAACCTCGTTGCTTGCGTGCTTTTGCCTCCCTGTCCGTACCAGTGCAGTCTAATCAGGGTATCCTAGCAGGCTGCTCTTTGGCCACTACAATGCTGCGGGTCCTGCTGCATAGAAGCTTGCAGGATTGCATGACTATATACCCCACGGTCAAGCCGCGTGCGCTGATCGACGATGTTAGCTTCCACTGGGCAGGAGAGCGTGCCAGGGAGGGAGAGAGCGTCGGCCAGGCAAGAGACTTGGCCAATGCAGTACACAGTTTTTGCCTCAGTGTGAGGCCGCTCGGGTTAGTCGCCCAGCCGAGCAAGTCAGGTTTTGTTGCGAACACGAGCCGAGGCCGAGATAGATTCGCTCGATTGGTTGTGCCTTTTCGTATGCGAACGAAGCGAGCGATGCGTAATCTAGGTCGCGAGATGCACGGCACCAGAGTCTTGCGCGTGCAAGAAAAGAGGCGCCTTAAGAATCTCAAGGCTCGTAGGCGCAAGGTGTGGGGCCTGAAGCACGCCGCTGGGGAGGCCGTGAAATCCTTGTGGAGGACGGGGCTACTCCCAGCTGGCGGCCACGGCGCTGGAGTGTCAGGGATATCTGACACAGCGATTCGCGAGCTTCGGACGCATGCTGGAGGCATGTGTGGGGCCAAGCCCAAGGCGTCGCTCACCCTGTTTTTAGCCACACAGCGAGACGACAGGTTCGACCCTATGTTTGATGCGACGGTTCCGTTGGTTGTCAGGTTTGCCTCGTTCATCTGGGACAATAGGGTCGCGCCTGGACGGCTCCGCAGAGCCTGGGCAGCGGTCAAGGCGAAGCTTGACCAACGCATCTCGTGGTCCAGAGCCCGTGGCCCCATCGCCTCTGTTTGGGTCACGCTCCTGCGCGTGGGTTGGACGATGTTTTCTCCAACAGTGCTTGTGGACGATCGAGGTCGCCACGTCGATTTAGTCAGGCAGTGTCCAGGTGATGTGAAAGCTTTCCTGGAGGAAAGCATTCGCCGCTGGCAAGTAGATAGGATCCTGCAGCACCTGCCCAAACAGCCTTGGAGAGAGCTGCTGGAGGAGGGGAATGAGGAAAGCAGTGTTTGCTGTAAGGGACGTTGCGAGGCGAGGCGCCTTGCGGACGCTCTGGTCGTCAGGGGTTTGGACCCCCGAGAGGCTGCACAGCATTGGGCTCCGCAATTCCCCGCAGTGTTTTGTATGCAAGCAGGCAGCAGGCAATGAGTCCCACCAATGGTTCGAGTGCGACGCCATGCTAGACGGGTTGGACGTGCCTGTTCCAGATTACGTCCTCGAGCTGAGGAAGGATATCAAGGCCAGGAATAATTCGCAATCTGGAGCGGATCAATTTTATCTCAGCTTCGGATTGCCGCCCGAGCCACCAGCACTGTCGCCCCCGAGCGATGAGTATCCTGTGTTGGGATGGGGGGACTGGCGTGGGCGATGGGGGCGGAGGGTGTACACCGACGGAAGCGGCCAAGCGTCGTCGATCCCAGAGCTGGCCCGATGCGGCTGGTCTGTGGTCGAGGTCGACGAGGCTGGCAACGTGTTGCGTGCAATTTTTGGCGCGCTACCAGGAGCTGTGCAGACAGTGCCACGTGCGGAGCACTACGCAGCGCTCAAAGCAGTAGAAGTTGCGCAACAGCCAGCTATCATAGTGTCCGATCACCTGAATCTGGCGCGTGAAGGGTGTGCCTGGTCGGCGGCCGCTGCCTCCTCTAGGGGCCGCCACGCGGCTGTGTGGGAGAAAATACGTCGGCACTGTCCCGAGGCTCCTCCTACCTTCGAGTGGGTCCCTGCGCGCAGAGAGCTCTCGGAGGTTCTGGAGGCCCCCGAGTGTGACTTTGTCCGTTTCGTTGCTAACGAGTGGGCCGACTTCTTTGCCAAGCGTGGGGCCCAGGTGCATTCAACTGGCCTGACCATGCAGGATTATTTTAAGCAGGCCATGAAGGCGGCCAAAGATCACTCGCAGGTTTTTGCCTGGATGGCCCAAGCGGTCGCCAAAAAGAATGTTGAGCTCCAACCTAGGGAAGTCGTGCCGTCTCAGGTTTGCCGAGACGGCGCCGCCCCACAGGTTGTGCTTGACTCGCATGAGTTTCGTTTCTGTGAGAGGCTATCTGAACACAGGTGCCTGAAGTGCAACAGGTTTGCTAGGGCGACCGAATCCTTGAAGGCCCTTCGAGCGAAGCGATGCGAGCCCACGGGCCTTGCGAGAGCGATGGCGACGCGTTATTTTGCCCTCACCCCCGAAGTTTATCGGCACGCCTCGCGCGCGGTGGACGTCGCCGTGCGTGCTGCTGGCCTTGATGAAGGCCTAGGGCCCTCTGGAGGCCCATGCGAGGGTGGTGGAGTGGGGGCTGACGTCGTCGCCGTCGGGGTCGATCGGGAGGTGGAATTGTACTCGGAGCTCGGCCACGGGATGGAGCGATTTGGCTCCACGGTCATCTGCTTCGGTTGCGGGGCGTTTAGTGTGGCTGGAGGCCGCAATCGGAAGCTGCGTGCCCTGTGCAGGGGCCATTCGGACGTAGCTTCTACGCGTGCGAACGAGGAGATGCAGATCTCACGCGCGATGCGCGGGCTGCACCCCAGGTCGGGGGACCCTTGCCCATGACGACCTCGACGCCAGGTCCCCTCTGTCGGCTCTCCGACGTGGTGGGGACGGTGCTGTCGAGGTCAAGCCGCACGGTGCGATGGCTCGTTGCCTCGCCGTGCGGCTCATCACTTTCTTCCCGCTGAAGCGGGTCCGTACGCTCGGACTCGCCCTTCATCGCTCGCTACCTCCTCCTCCTCCACCTCCTCCTCCTCCTCCCTCCTCCTCCTCCTCCTCCTCCTCCTCCTCCTCCTCCTCCTCCTCCTCCTCCTCCTCCTCCCATTCCCCCCTTCCCTTTCTCCCCGTTTCTTTGTGCCCTTCTGAATCCACCAGCATTCCGTCATCCCTTAGGACCTCCGGAATCTCACAGCCGCCCCGCGAAACCCGCCACAGCCCCCCGTCATCCCCTCCCTCCCCACCCTCCTCATCTTCCCTGCTCCATCCTCCCCTACCCTTGAGAAGGATACCGGAGGGGACACCCTCCCTGCTCCGTTTGCGTGATGACGACGACACACATTCGACGACGACGACGACGGCACAAACGACGACCCGACGACGACGACGACGATGACGACGACGATACCGACGGCGGCGGCGGCGGCGTCTCTAACGGCCGCCGCGGCTCAAACCATGAGAGCGCCTCCCTTTCGCGGGCGCCGCCCGCGCCGCGCGGCCGCATGGAGGCCGCGGAAGGCGCTGCGCGCGCGCCGCGCGCCTCCGGCCTGGTAGCTGGGGGGGGCGCCAGCAACCGTCGTCGTCGGAGGGACGATACGACACGTCGATATCGTCGTCGTCGTCGTCGGAAGGGGGGTAAGGCACGTCGTTGTCGTCGTGACCGAATTTGTCGAGGGGCGCCCGCGTTCGATGTCGTAGTTTTCGGGGGCTTGCGCCGCGCCCCGCGCCGCCGCCATCTCGCCGCCCCGGCGCCCGCCGCCCCCCCCTCTGGTGGTCTCTTCCTTCATTTGCATTTCCTCTCTTCATTTCTCTCTCTCTCTCTCTCTGTCTCTCTCTCTCTCTCTGTCTCTCTCTCTCTCTCTCTCTCAGTGTCTCTCTGTTTCTCTCTCATTCATTATCTCTCTCTCGCTCTATCTCTCTCTCTCTTTTTTGTTTTGTTTTGTTCTCTCTCTCTCTCTCTCTCTCTCTCTCTCTCTCTCTATATATATGTATATATATGTATCTCTCTCTCAGTCTCTCCCCCCTCTTCTCCTACCGTCTGTTACCACTGTGGCTCGAGAGCGCTCAGCGGTCGAGGCCAGACAAGGATTCCGCAAATTCCCTTTCGGGCCACAGCTTCCGCCAGAGGCTATCCAGGTGGCATAGGACTGAGAGAGAATCCAGCATCATCCTCTTCCTCTTTCCCCTCCCTCCTCTCCTCCGGTGTGGCGTGCTTTTCTGTCACACGTCAGGCGCGGGAAAAAGCTGCTTTTGAGTGCAACCGCATGTTCGCGCGTGCCCCGCACGTGTGCTGCTGAGTCGAGAAAAAAAGGATCGGGATATAATATGATCGGGATGGATACAGTGGGCGATGTCTGAGAGCCGGCGGTTCTGGAGGATGGATCGGGCGCCGCGGCCGTTGTAGGGCGGGCGCTTGAGCGTGTGATGAGCATGCGCATGAGCATGCGCATCTAACCGCGGGGCTCAATCCAACAGCTGCCGCCTGTAGAGGAGAAGGTTAGGGATAAGACGAAGCCATAATCGGGACAGGCTCGGTGTGTTCCCTTTGGTGGTCTCTTCCTCCTCTCTCTCTCTCTCTCTCCCCCTTCCTCTCCTCCACTAGAGCGTGCTTCTCTTCCACACGTCAGGTGAGGAAGAAAGCGGCTTTCGAGGGCAACCGCATTTTCGCCCGTGCCCCCACGCGCATGCTGAGGATGAGCGGGAGGAGATGGAAGATGATGAGGATGTGGATAACAAGAATGGAGGAGGGGGAGAACAAGGAGGAGGTGGTGGTGGATGAGTTGGAGGAGCAGGGGTAGCACGATGGGGGCAGAGGCGTTGGAGGAGAAGGAGGTGGAACACGAGGGAGAAGATGGGAAGGGGGAGGAGCAGGAGGGGGAAGGAGGACGAGCAAGAGGGAGGAGGAACGACAGGAGGAGCCAGGGGGGGGGGAGAGGGGAAGGTCGGGAGGAGCGCGAGCACGAGGAGGAGGAGGAGGAGGATTGGGGGGAGCCCCAGAGAGCACCTCTTCGCACCGCGCGGGCCACTGGCGTACGCCCCCCGCCTCGGGGTCCCCGGCGGGGAGGGCAGGGCCGGCGCTTCGCCTCCGGCACGTGCGTCGGGTGCGCGCTGCTCCTGGGAGCCCGGCGCCTGGGCGGCCCTCTCTCTCGCCCCTGGGGCCGGGGGTCGCTCCAGGAGGGGGTCCAGCGACAAGGGTCGATCACGCGCAGAGGGGGGTAGGGGGAGGGGGGAAAGCTTCTTAGAAGCACCCCTGCTGCTTAGAAGGCGCGGGCCTTATCTATAGATGTAAGGCCGGTGCCTTCTAAGAAGTAACCTCCTTCTAAGAAGCCCTCCCCCGTCCCTCCACCCCCTTGTGCGCACCGCCAAAAGGGGGGGGTGCAACAGAGTCGGTGCAACAGATCTGTGCGTTTGCGGTACATCTGGGGCGTGCCATGCATTCCAGGGCGCAGATGTATGGCTGGGTTTTCGCGTGCAATGCTTTCGTCGCAGTGGCAACGCAATACGAGTCCCCGGCGCAGTGCAACACAAGTGCTTCAAATTTAATGCACCACCCCCTTGCAGCTGGACCGCCTTTTGGGTCGACTAAACTGGGCCGGGGAGGGGTCCGAGGTTCACGCGCGCTCCGCCGCTGGCAGAGTGCCTCCTCGCAGACGTCCGAAACACACGTGGGAGCTTCTCCCTCGAAGCAGGAAAAGAAAACTAACAACCAAACAAAAACGCCATAAACAGAAACTCTTGGTGCTCCGCGCGGATGTCTTGGATCCGCGCCGCGCCCCCCTTGGCGCGCTCCGCGCGCCAGGGAGGGGGTCCAGCGCAGATCCAAGAAATCTGCGCGGATCGCCAAAGAGTTATTCTGTGGCGTGTGTTCCTTGTCTGATGTGGGAACTTCTCGTTTGTTTCCGTTTTGCCTCTGATGTTCCTTGGTCGCCTGGCCAGTGCCGGGTGAGTTGGGTGTCAGTGCGCGACGCTTGAAGGCGACGTTGACGGAGTTGTTTCGGGCGTAGCCCGAATTTCTTTCTCGCGAAATTGGCTGAACTGAACTGAACTGACACACGCCCGTTACGCGACGGCTTTATTCTCGGCCGCCGAGGGCGCAACCTGTGGCGCAACCAATAGGATTCGGTTTTCTTCTCGGCCGCCGAGGGCGCAACCTATGGCGCAACCGATAGGATTCGGTTTTCTTCTCGGCCGCTGAGGGCACAACCTGCAACCGAGGAGACGGAATTCTTCTCGGCCGCCGAGGGCGCAACCTGTGGCGCTACCGATAGGAGACGGAATTATTCTCGGCCGCCGAGGGCGCAACTTGTGGCGCAACCGATAGGAGACGGAATCATTCTCGGCCGCTGGCCCCGTAGCCATTTTGGCTCAAGACCATGCCTCCCCCCGTGGAGGACACGGATACCGCTAGTCCGCAGCTCGCCCACCAAAGTTTCTCTGTTGGCACCACTGTGCTCGGCAAACTCGCTCGACACCTGTGTCTGCTGACCGTACTTGCCTGTGTGCCGTTGCCATGGCAGAGTACTGGAAGTGCAGTTGCGGAGAGTTCAATACCAAGGGCCGACGGACGTGCAACAACTGTGGAGAGGCCAAGCCACCGCCTCGTCCTTGGAACGGCGGGCCGAAAAGAGCCGATTTCTGGATGCAGCGCAAGGGGGCTGGCTTCAAGCAAAGCGTATGGCAGCCATGGACCAAGCAAGGAGGAGCCCCGCAGGCACAACGGCCGCAGGCTGCCGCAGGTGCAGCCCTCACGCCAAGCGACGTCAAGGAGTGGTCCGAGCTTCCCGTTGACGTCTACGAGAAGACGAAGAATGCCTTGTCTCACTCTTCAAGGCAGAAGGTTGAGTACGCCAGGCGGGCTGCTGCTGCTGGGCTGCTGGGCGCTGCTGGTCGTAAAGCTCCTCAAGCTGTCGACAAGGCCGCCAGGGCCCTCCAGAACGCGAAGGACCGCTTGGCAAGCAACGAGGACAAGGCTCTCAGGATGCTGGAGGCGGTTGCTACCTCGGAGGCTGACGTGGCTAAACTGGAGAAGGAGCTGGAGGCGGCGAAGCAGGACGCGGCGAAGCTGTACGGTGCGTGCACACCCGCAGCTGGCGCGTTCACGGCGCAGCAGCTCAAGGCCAAGCTCGGAGAGATCCCCACGGAGGGCATCTCGCTCGCGGAGCTCCTCAAGTCCCTCCAAGCAGCGGCCGATGAGCTCGACAGCGCCAGCAGGCCGCCTGCTGGTCAGGAGCCAGCCCCTGAGGGTGGCGAAGCGGCAGCTGCAGAGGAGGGCCCAGCGCATGGGACCACGCCCGACGAGGCTTTCGACGCTTTCATGGCTGGCGATGATCCTGGTGGCCTGCTGGGCCCCTGCCAGGATGAGGGCGAACGCAAGAGGTTTGCCGAGGCCATGGAGGCCATCCGCACAGCCAAGCGCCCCAAGACGGCAGGAGGGTAGCTCTGCCAAGAGGCGCTGGTGGACGGCGCTCACCATCAACGCCAATGCCTACAGCAGGTTTGAGGCCTTGCCCGGCGAGAACCAGGTGCGCAACGCTGATTTGATTGCGGTGCAGGAGACTCACCTCTCCGACTTTCGGTGCGCTGAGGTGACCGACAAGCTCAAGAAGCAGGGCTGGCATGCCCTCGCGTGCCCCGCAGTGGGCACGGGCCCTGGCCTCCACGGCCATGGAGGGCCGCTGCAGCTGGCGCCGCGTGCGCATGGCCTCGGCGCCTTTGAGATGAAGAGCGGCTTCGAGCTCTTCCCTGGCAGGGCCTCGGTCGCCCACTTCGCTGGCATTGTGCCTGGCGGAGTTGTCTGGTCCAACGTTTACCTCAGGGACAGCGAGGGCATGTCCGACTTCAACCACCAGGTGCTGCAGGCCGTCTACCGCGCGGCTAAGGAGGTCGCCAAGCCCATCATCATCGGCGGGGGCTTCAATCTGGAGCCGCAGGAGTTGGCGGCGTCAGGTTCCCTCAACGCGCTCAAGCTCAAGGCGGTCACCCCTGTCGAGGGCACCTGCCGCCCTGGGGGGCGCATCATCGACTACTGGGTCATCAGCGCTACATTCGGCGCAGCGGAGGCCAAGGTGCTGCACGGCTGGAACCTAGCGCCGCATTTTCCTGTCCAGCTGAGGGTCGACGGCAACACCTTCGCCAGGAATATGCGAATCATGGAGATCCCTAAGCGCCTGCCCTGCCCGCTGCCTACCGCGTGCTGCAGCAGGGACCACTCAGTTCCCTGGGCGGCCACTCGGCAAGCCATGCAGGCCACGAGTTCGCTCTCCTCGCGCCGGCAGCTTTCTACCAGGCCGAGTGGAACATAATCGACGCCGTCGGTCTGGCTCACGAGTACGACGACTACGCAGGCCGCGCCGCCAGGCCACGCCTCAATATGGCCAAGGTTGCGGTACCCAGCCCGCCACGCATCCCTAAGTGCTCCAAGGCCACGTCCTGGCGCAAGAGGGTGGCGATCGCGATCAAGGGTTGCGCGCAGGTCGACTTTCCCCTCCGCCGGCTTCGAGCGCTGCGGGTTCTCAGCAAGATGAAGGGCGACGACCTGGTTCAGACCACCGACCAGCACACGTTGAACACGATCACCATCTTCGCTACCTTGGCGGAGGCCACGCCTTCCCTGGGCATCGGCGCGCTGCAGGGCATCGCTGCTGACGTCAACGCGGCTGCCGACAAGATGGTCCAGAAGGAGGCTGACGCGAGGCAGTCGAGCTACAACGACTGGGTGATCGACAATCACATTAGAGGCGCGGGGGCCTTCCATGCTCTTACCAAACCTCCGCAAGGCCGGGCGCCTCGCCCTGCGGGAGCGTCTCCCGACGGCTCTCCTCCTACCCTCCAGGAGACGGTTACCGCCTTGGTGAAGGAATGGTCTGGGCACTGGGGCATGGGGGGGCCCGCCTCCTCCTGCGCCAGCTCCCAGGAAGCCCACATCGACTGGCCAGATGAGCTTGGCGAGAGGCCGCCTAGGCCCACCGTCGAAGAGGTCAGAGAGGTGACCAGCAGCTTCAAGGAGGCCACGGGCGCGTCCTTCGACTCGCTCAGGCCCAGGGAGCTGCAGCTGACGGACGACGAAGGCATCCAGGCCATGATCGACTTGTTTGACGTGATCGAGCAGAGGTGCGAGTGGCCCGATTTCGTCGCCAAGATGGCCTTCATCCCCAAGACGGACGGAGGACTTCGCCCTATCGCGCTGCTGGGGGCTCTCGTGCGCATGCACGGAAGGTTGCGGCGGCCAGTCGCGAAGCAGTGGGAGCGACAGCGCGACAGGCCTTACTGGTGGGCCAGCGCTGGCAAGAGCTGCGACAGAGCCGTTTGGCAGCAGCAGGCCTGGGCCGAGTGGGTCCACATGATGGGCGCGCTCTATCTACGAGCAGCACGACTGGGCGTCGGCTTCGATCTTCCTCGACCTCTGGAAGGCTTTCGAGCAGATTCTACACAGCCAGCTCTTGAAGGCCTGCCAGGCCCACAACTTCCCGCTCTGGCTGGCCAAGCTGCAGATCAACCTGCACAGGTTGCCCCGCGCAGTCTGCTTGGAGGGCTGCTGCTCAGACGAGCTGGTGGTGATGCAGACGGTGCTGGCAGGCGACGCGTTCGCCACTACTTTCATGCAGGTGATGCTCCTCACTCCTTTTCACACGATGGCGATCAAGCATCGCGCTGTGGTTCCCGCAGTGGTCGTGGACGACCTGGCGATCCAGCGCTGGGGCGGGGCCAGCAAAGTCGAGAAGGACCTGATTGCCAGCGCCAAGCTCTTGGTCAAGGAGCTAAGCAAGGTGAAGCTCAAGGTCGCGACGAAGAAGTCCAGGATCCTCGCGAGCAGTGCCAAGCTGAGGAAAGGGCTCCAGGCCAAGCTCATCAAGGCTTGCGGTGCTGGTGCAGTGTCGAATGTACGCAACCTTGGCGTCGATCATGCTGAAGGGGGGCGGCGTGCCAGTGCGGCGCGGAAGCTGCGCATGGCCAACGCCAAGGCGCGGCCCCCTCGCATCGAACGACTTCTGGGGCTACGGCGAGGCCGAGCCGCAGCGGCTAAGGTCGCACTCACAGGCCTTTTGCCCAGCATCATGTATGGAGTTTCGTGCACTGGGATGTCTGACAGCGAGCTCAAGCGCGCCAGGGCGCCGGTAGTC